CAGCCGGGCGCACCCGGCACGCCACGCCGGGGCCCAATCACAGGCGAGAACACAAAACCCACAAAAAATAGGCGCCAAATTCCAGCGATCCGCTGTGGCTTCCCGGCCTCCGCAGCTGTCTGCGCACGGCAACCTCTTCTTTTCCTCTCCGGCTCTGAGAGAAGAGGAACCGCACCCAGTAGGCCCTAATAAATGCTGATTGCTTGAGTGGATTGGTCGGTTTAATTAACTCACAAATCGTGCCTGGGAACCGCCAGGACTGGGCTGGAATCCACACCCTGTCTCCTATTAGCCCCTTAATCCTGGGCAGATCATTGCCTACTTGGAGCCTCAGTTTCCTCTTATACAAAGTGGGTAAACTGCGTCTTACCTCCCAGGGTTGATAGCGCCAAGTGAAATGTATATATTTATATATAAAGTGGCTAATTGGGTGCAAGGCTGAGAGCCCTCAGTGTAAGCTCCACTTAAGCATGAATTTTTTAATATTTTGTTCACTGCTTTGTATCTCAATGCCTAGTAGGTGCCCCATGTTTATTAACTGCATCGCCAGATATTTATTGAATGTCTCTAATGCACTAGGCGCCGTCTTTGTTCTAAGTTGCCAGGGAAAGAGCAATAAACAAGACAGTCTACCTTGGTTGAGGTACTGTGCCTTATCAAATCATATGGGTGACCTTGTGCAAGTTAATTAACTTTTTGTGTCGAGTCATCTATGATACGGAAGAACAGTAGTTGGAGGATTCAGTGAGGTTAAAATAGGACAGGGCCTTGCACACACTAAATGTTAGATATTAAATAACCTAATACATTAATAATTCACAAATATATAATAATATAGCATCTTTTTTTGACAGGGATAAGTGTCAGAGAAAAAGAATGAGCCAAAAAGTGTCTGGGATCTGGGGACAGGCCGCTTCTGTTAGTGTGGTCATTGAAAGACTAATTTTTTTTTCAATAAAATTTCAAATTTACATATAAATTGCAAGAATAGTAAAGAATCTCATACACTTTTTAACCAGAATAACGATTAGCTATATTTTACTACATTTGCATTATCATATTCTCTCTTGTGGATATGTGTATGTATATTGTACACAATATGTATATGTGCTTTTTCCCCAAACCACTTTAGAGTAAGTTTCAGACCTCGTGCCCCTTTAATCCCTAAATACTTATGTGTATATTTCCTAAAAACATGGATATTCTTTTGCAAAATCTCAGTACAATTATCAAAATCGAGAATTTTAGCAATAGAATTCTTAAATACATCTTTCATATTTAATTTTTGCTTATTGTCCCAATAATATAGCATTCCCTAAGATCCAGGATCACATTTTGCATTTGGTTGTCATGCCTCTTTAGTTTCCTTTAATTTAGAAAGGCAGTTAATTACTTTTCATTGTCCTTTATGACCTTGACATGTTTGAAGAGTACTGGTGAGTTATTTTGTAGATGTCCCTAAGTTTGGATTTCTCTGATATTTTCTCATGATTAATTAGAATCAGGTTATGCATTTTGGGCAGGAAAGCCACTGAAAGAAATTGTGTCCTCAGTGTATCACATCAGGAGGCGCAATATGTTGGCTTATTCCAATATTGATGATGTTAACTTTGATCGTTTTGTTAAGGTGGTGTCTGCCAAGGTTCCCGTTGTAACTAAGTATTTTGTAGGAAGTGGGAAGTTATTTTCGGACCATCCTGTTTTTCATCAGACCCTCACCCACTGTTTTTAATATTCATTAATGATTCTTGCCTGAGTCAGTTATTCTAATGGTAACAAAGTAGTGATTGGAAGGCCTCTGTATTACTTTGTTAGGGCTACCATAACAAAATACCACGAGCTGGGTGGTTTAACAGAAGTTTATTTTCTCGAAGTTTCAGAGACTAGAAGTCCAGGGTCAAAGTGCTGGCAGGTTTGGTTCCTCCTGAGACCTCTCTCCATAGTTTGCAGGTGGCAGCCTTCTGGCTGTGTCCCCACAAGACGTTTTCTCTGTGTGGGTATCTTATCCTTTTCTTATAAGGACACAGTCACATTGGTTTAGGGCGCACCCTGACTGGCTTATTTTTACCTTAATCAGCCTTTTAAAGACTTTATCTCCAAATATGTTACATTCTAAGGTAGTGGAGGCTGTGAATTCAACATATGATTTTGGCAGGGATGGGGAGGGGGGCAGTCTATAACAGGTCAATAACAGTCTCTTTGGAATATGACGCGTGAGCTGAAACCTGAGGCCAGCCCTGCTAAACTATGGAAAGGTATTTCAGGAAGAGGGGAATAAGTAGAGAAGCCCTGAGACAGGAACATGATTGATGTCAAACTTAAGCCAATTGGTGAGAATGTGAAATGGTACACCTACTTTGGCAAAAAAAACTTTGGCAGTTTCCTATAAAGTTAAATACATATCTACTCTGTGGCCCAGTAATCCCATGCCTAGGTATTTACCCAAGATAAAGGAAAACTTATGTTCACAAATACACTGGCATAAGAATGTTTATCGTGGCTTTTTCCATAAAAGTCTCAAACTGGAAAATACTCTAATGTTCATCAGTAAATGACTAGATAACTAAATTGTGGTATTCTTGAACCAAGAAATGCTGTTCAGTGGGGGGAAAAAAGAATGAAGTATTGATCTGACAACAAGGATGAATCAAAATAATTCTGTTAAGTGAAAGAAGCCAGGCACCAGAGGGTATATATAAACTGGATGATTTTATATACGATTCTTTAAAATGCAAACTAATTTATGGTGACAGAAAGCAAATTAGTAGTTGGGGTGCGGACGGAGGGAGGGATGGAATACAAAGGTATATGGGAAACTTTCTGAGGAGATGGATACGTTCATTATCTTGAAATTATCTTGTGATAGTTTCAAGGGGGCAGTATGTTAAAAAACACTTCAAACTGTACACTTTAAATAAACGCAATTTAGGTACATCAATTTTACAGCTTTACCTCAATAAAGCTGTAAAAAAATGGAGGAAAAATACATTCTCTGTGATTCCATTAATATAAAGTCAAGCTGCACTGCTCTGCGGTGGCAGGAATCATATCAGTGGTTATCTTTGGATGGGAATTTAGATGCCAAGGGGCACAAGGGAATTTTCTGGGTGATGGAATTTTATTGTATGTAAATTAGATTGTAATAAAGTTGATTTAAAAGATGAAAAAGCAAACCCAAAAGATGCCACCATGAACACTCACATTGTACTTAGAGCTTCTAGGGGGGCGGGTATAGCTCAGTGGTAGAGCACATGCTTAGTATGCATGAGGGCCTGGGTTCAATCCCTAGTACCTCCATTAAATAGATAAATAAACCTGATTGTTAAGAGCTTCTAGGGACAGAAGGCTACCTCGTGCTCAGGAAGGGCTCTGTTCCTTCCCTCATCAGCCCCATGGGTTGAGCAAGCTCTCTTCCAGCCAGTTTCCCCACCTGAATTTTAAGAGAGCTTGGATCTGAAGTTCTGAGAAGACCATAAGGAATATAGATCCTGTCACATGCTTGTGAGAAGGGCCAGGCTACTTGAAAAATTGTTGATGGCTTGACCATTTTTTCTTTTATTCTGGTTTTTCTTAAGTTACAAAAGTAACCTCTTCTTATGATGGCCAATAGCCAACATTTATTAATGTTTTCTCTCTCTCAAGCACTGGATTTCACAAATTCTCATGAACGACCATCCTGTGAGGTTTACTATCATCAGCCCCATTTTCCAGATGAGGAGACTGAGGGAGGAGTTTGATCAGCTGGGATTGGAACTGAGATGCCAGGCTCTGCACACCACCTTACCCGGCTCAGCCCTTCCCAAGGTAAGCATTTATGGGAACGTTTACGGCAAGCTTTCCACGCTTTTCTCTGTTGACAAACAGGCCTACCTGGAGTTCCCTGGAGCCCCACACAGTGCCAGACATGATTAGAGGTCAACATTTAGTGACAAGAAGAGAAGGAAAAGGGACAGGTAGCAGTGAGGCTTTAGGCCCTTCCAGTAAACACTGGCCTTTGAGAGAGCTGACAAAGAAAATAAGACATAATGGAATTATGTGATTCCAAATAACATTAGCCCTCAAAGGACAATAAAGCCAGTGAAGGAATAGCAAGGGAGAGGGGAGGTGCTATTTTAGAGTGGATGGTTTGGGAAAACTGCTGTAAGGAGGTGACCATTGAGTAGAGACCTCATTGAAGTAAAAGAATCGGCGAAATACATACTGACTAGAAGAGCAGTCCTCCCTCGTCTGAGGGAAGATCAAGTGCAATGGCCCTGAGGTGGGAGGCTGCAAGGGGGCCTGTGGCACTGAGTGCAGGGAATAGGGGAGAGTCATGAGGAGGCTCGGAGAATGCGGAGAGACAAGATGGGGCCCACTCATGAGGCAGGGGCTTGTGGGCGGCAGTGAGGACATGGAGCAATGACAGCACGCGAAGCGCTGTGGTTAGTGATGCAGCTGGAGAGGGCTGAGGCTCAGGTGAGTTGCCCCGTAGCAAGAAGCAGAATGGTCATGCACCCTCTCCATCCCTGGTACTTAAGGGGTGAGAACACCCAAGGGGCAGCCAGCCTCGGGTGAAGGGGGTGGTGCCATGGGAAGTAGCTGGCCTAGCCTGGGAGGGGAAGGGTGGGTGCAGTGGAGGAGTGTGGAGGGGATGGCAGCTGGGAGACGGGGCTGAGACCGCTCCAGTGGAAAGAGAGTGGGCAGGGGGAGGAAGGGTTGGGGGCTGGACGTGGCGCGGGGCTATGGCAGAGATAATGGTGGTTGTAGTAGAGTAGCTGGGGGTGGGAGCGGGTTAAGGGGAGAGGAGGGCTTCAGAGGGGCCGTGGAGATGCTGAAGGACAGAAGCTGGAGGTGGGTACCTCAACAGAGAGTATAATCTGAGTAGGGTGCTATGCTGTCGTCTTAAGCTCCCCTTGCATAATGGAACTGGATTTCAGGAGCTCC